AAATAAAAATAAAAATAAAATAAAAATACAATCTGAGCCTCCTCAGGCACAGTCAGTTAATATCTTTTGTTCTATAAATGGACCATGCCTTCTTCTCCTTCTTCCCCTTCTCCTCCTCCTCCTTCTTCCTCTTTCTCCTTTTCTTCCTCTTCTTCTTCTTCCTTTTCTTTTTTTATTTGTCTTTTTGAGACAGGGTCTCACTATACACTTCAAGCCAGCCTTGAGCTCACTTTGTAGCCCAGGCTGGTCTCCAGTTTACAACAATCCTCCTGCATCAGCCTTCTGAGTGCTGGGATTACAGGCATGCGCCACCACACCTGGCTTCTTCTTCTTTTGAGACAGGGTCTCTCTATGCAGTTCAGGCTGACCTTGCACCCACTTATGTAGCCCAGGCTAGCCTTGAACTCACAGGATCCTCCTAACTCAGCCTCTCGAGTGCTGGGATTACAGGTGTGCACCACCCTGCCCGGCCCGTGCTTCCTTTCCTGTTGCATGCCTGCCTCATTTTTGTTGTTGTCATTGTTGAAAACTGAGTATTCTACATATTATAATGTGATGAACTCTGGAAATCAGATTCTCTCCCTTTCCCATGGTTTATTTTGGCTGATTGTTGGGGACTGTTTATTAGTGATTTTTCTGAATTATTTTATACAGATTATATTCTTTGTTATGTCTTGTCACTGAAGTTTCTGTTTTTTTATCTTTATGGTCAGCTTGTGGTTTGACAGATTTCCTTAAGTACCAAAATTAAGCATCTTTATTATCATTTTCAAACCCCTGATGTAAGTTCTTTAGATTCCATAGCTCTGAAAAAGTTGATATGGACAACAGTTTTTACCAATTTAATAGATGAGCAGAGAATCGGCTTTTTGGAGTTTTTTACTCTACCATATTCAAAAATATTACTTAACACTCATTTGTCTTTCATTTTAAAAGAAACTCTATAAATTTAGTCCTTACCTTATGGCAGCCCCACTCTCATTTTTGTTGCCGGAAGCTCGTTCTATAGTAGATTTGATAGGATCAGTTCATAAGAACAATATTTCCTGATTTATCTTTTCTACTTAAAAATCACTTTTTTTCTAGATAGAAAACGCTGGGCTTACATTTTCTTTCCTTACCTATTTTAAATAGTTTACACCATTTTTTTGTGTGCTTCATGATTTTTGACTGAGCTGCGCATTTTACTTGAAAATTTATTTGTGAGGCTTTTTAAGGCCTGGGCTGTATTGGATAATAAATGGCAGCATTTTATATCTTTTTTTTTGGCAGAGGGTTTACTGGGAATTAAACCCAAGGAGTTGTGGACCTATATCCCTAGCCGCTCCCCTCCCTTCTTGTGACAGTTTTGCTAAGTTGCCCAGGTTAGCCTCAAACTTAGAATCCTCCTGCCTCAACTTCCCAAATAGCTGGGATTACAGGTATGTGCCACCATGCCTGGGTCTTGTTTATTTTTAACATAGAAGGTATGGCACTATACCTTTGTCTTCAGCTAGCTTTTTTCACCAGAATATAATAGCATATCATTGTGTAGTCATTGAGGTAATCTCTCTTGTTCTCTGGGAACTGTAGGTATATCCTGAGTTTGAAGATGAGAGAGCTTGTTTGCCATCAGGATCTTTTCTGACTTGTTCTTCAGACAATACCATTCGCTTCTGGAACATGGACAGCAGCCGTGAGTCTCACTGGCAGAAAAATATCTTAAGCAATGTGAGTACCTTTATTGTAATCTGTCTTTTATGAGGAATGAAGACCCCTTCAAGCCACCATATGGGGCAGGACAGAAGGACTCCTAAGGAACCTACATGTTATTAGGCTTTATTAGGTGTAAGAACCAGGAACCACGGGTGATCCCTATATGTCCTTTCCTTTTATTTTTCTGCCTCTCTTCCTTTCTGAGAGGGCACAGTCTGTCTTGTCTAATTCTTTGTCCACTAGCTCCTGATCTCCAGGTGTATATGGATATGAAGCAACCTTTAGGTAGCACCACACTTAAATGAATTTGCTCCAAATCAAGCAAGATGAATTTGCTCCCAAAATCTTATGTCAGAACTCCCTGGAATAGCACCTGATGGGCTACTGCCCCTGTCTTAAGTAGCTGCCATGCAAGGAGGCCTTAGGGTGCTAGTAGGATCCTGGAGAGTCTTGATGGAGGCTGGGAGGAATAGTTTACTGAAGAAGTGTTGGTTAGTATTGCTAGGTCAGCAAGGGAACTTTCTGGGAAGATGAGAACTGAATCATACATTCGTTTATTCTGCAGCTATTTACTGAGTCTGTGCCATGGGCTTTGCTGCACACTAGAGGTACAGTAGTGACTAATACCGACCCTGCTCCTGCCCTTCTGGCACCCCACAAGTCTAGTGGGTGGAGGCATATGCGATTGGATAACTGTACAGCTTATATTTAATCACAAGGATAGTAATCACTGTAAAAGAACATTGCATAGTATTAGTAGGATACACAGGCTGATCAAAAAATATGGATGTATTTATTTTGTTAGAAGAAGATCACTATATTCTAATTAATTCACAAGTGATATCATTATAACAGTTGTTTTGTTTCATTTTTGAGATAGGGTCTCACTATGTAGTTCAGGCTGGTCTCAAACTTACTATGTAGTTTGGCCTCAAACACTGGCCTCAAGCTCATAGTGATCCTCCTGGTTCAACCTCCCTGAGTGCTGAGGTTATAGGCGTGCGCCACTATGCCTGGCACCACAGCTGGTTTAAAGAGTCCATACCAACATTTGCCCCAAGTTGTATACCATTTTGATGAAGTTCTGCATAGTCAGAACACTCTCTTCATTGCCATTCTGAAAAGGTTTAACTTATGCTTTTATACTTTATATTTTCATTATTAATTACATTTCCATGCTAATACAACTTAGTCAGAGTTGATTTCCCAGTTCTTCAATTTGAATTTTTTTTAAATAAAACTTTATTGAATTAAAACCTTGGTTACAGGGAGGCACAGAATTCCTTGCAGGCTGACCTCAGCCCTTTCCTTCTTGCAGACCCTGCTGAAGGTAGTATATGTGGAGAACGACATCCAGCACCTGCAGGACACGTCCCATTTCCCAGACCGGGGAGGTGAAAACGGGACACCCACGGATGTGAAAGCTGGAGTGCGAGTCATGCAGGTCAGTCCTGATGGCCAGCACTTGGCCTCAGGCGACCGAAGTGGAAATGTGAGGCAAGTGAGCCCTGGCCATGCCTAGTGTATGTCTCCTGCCAGTAATGCTAGCAGTCAGGAGGCTGGAGCAGGAGAATTCCAAGTTCAAAGCCAAATGTGGGCTTCAAACAAGACCTATTGCAAAAAATGTGTACACTTCCCAGCTCCAGTGGGAAAAAGGCTGGTCTTGGCACCTCCAGCTGCCCAGTGGGAATGAGGAGCTCTGAGTAGCAATCCAGTACCCAGTCACCTCTGGGAACTTAAACCAGAAGGGGCTTCCTGAGGGACTGAGACCTGTGTAACTAGCAGGACCTCAGCAACTGGGTCATGCAGACTTTGCCTACTTAGTGAGTGGGCAGGCAAACTGGTACCAATGCTAAAATGTCAGTGCCAGCTGCTAGGCATCCTGGAGGCCCTGAGAGAGGGTCCAAGAGGGTGGGACATTTGAGGTTTTGTTTATCCATCCTGCCAAGGTTTTTCAATATGGTAGGTGCTAGCAGAGCATGAGCCTTGTCATAGACTATGTTTAAGATGTCTGACACCTGTGACCATCTCAGTATTGGAGCTATCAGGAAATAAAATAGATTAGGGATAACTAGAAAGCGTGTGCCCCATAAAGGCCCAGCCACCCTGTGGCAGCCAGCGATGAGGTTCCAAGTTGTGCTGTTGTCCCTTGTCCAAGAAGAGCACAAAGTGCAGAGTTTTGTGTAAAATTCTGAAATTTTTTTTTTTTTTTTTTGGTCTTCTTGAGACAGGCTTTTGCTATGCAGTTCCGGCTAGCCTTGAACTCACTTTAGAGCCCAGACTAGCCTTGAGCTCACGGCAGTCCTCCTGCCTCAGGCTCCCGAGTGCTGGGATTACAGGTGTGTGCCACCACACCTAGCCAAAATTCTGATTTTTAAATGCAGGCAACTGTTGTTATATCCATCACTGGATGAGACAGAGTAACATGTGAGCAGGTTGCTTCCTTGACATGGCCCTGCTAGGAATGGCAGACAGAAACAAGAACTAACATGGTCTAGATTCTTTCCCTTGTGGGTGCTGGCCTGATCACCATGTGCATTTAATCCCTTCTGTGCAAGTGCAGTTTTAGCTCTACGTTTTAGATGGGTTAACTGAAACCAGAAAAGTCAAGTATCTGGGCTAAAATCACACAAGTAGACGGTGAAAAAGCTAGCAGGACTATTCACTGATTTCGCTTGAAGTGGATGAGGAAGGTCTAGATTTGAGACTCTAATGGAGAAAGGAGAATGGAGGAATGAGAATCCTATCTTTGAGTCTGACCTCAGACCCCAGGCCCTTTTCCCTCAGGGACCACCTGTGTATTACCCTGCATAAATAAGTCTTCCCCCAGGGGAATGTCCTTAATCCCATGACCAACAAGGGGCTGGTGCCTGCTGAGGTCTCCCTGGCTCCCTGCTGCTCCCTTTCAATGGCAAGCTTTCTCATGAGAAGATGTGGCTGGGTATCTCTGGACTTGTTGGCTGTATAGGAAGTTCAGTATTGCCTTCCTAGCTGTTCTGACCTTTCATGGCAGGGCCTGGCGCTGGATGTGAGGGCTGTGGGCAGGGTACAGTGGGCACTGTGTGTCTCCCAGGATCCACGAGCTGCACTTCATGGATGAGCTGGTCAAGGTGGACGCCCATGATGCTGAGGTGCTCTGCCTGGAGTACTCCAAGCCTGAGACTGGTGAGCCACCGAAAGGGGTGACTTGGATCTGGTGGGACTGTGCATGACAGCTCAGGGTCCTATGTTTAGTAAGGGCTCCTGTCTCTGGACCCTGGAACCAAGGTGATCTACAGGCAGGGCTCAGCTCAACTTGCTTTTGCTGGGCCCAGCACCCGAGCCATTCCCAAGCTAATGAGGTGAGTAAATGTCGGGATGAGCTCATCCTCTGCTGGAGAAAGGTGACTGACTGTAAGACATTAGTTTGGAAAAGTTTGAAGCCTGGAGATAAGTTGCAAGAATATAAGGATCCTGTGCATACCTTTCACCCAGATCCCTCATGTTTTTCCTTTGAAACCCAGTTAACTCTGTGACTGTGTGTGTGACTCTGTTTCCCTCCCACGTCTCTGTGCACACATGCTCACCTGCACGTGCAAGTGCCACTCTCAGACACTTCACAGACCATTTCCTAGAAGGAGGACATCATTCCCAGGACTCGACCACATTTGTCAGTCTGGAGGTTTCACTGCGATTATATGCTGTCATCTATCCAGTGATCCTTATTCAGACGTTGCCAGTTATCCTGATATTATCCTTCATGGTACTTTTGTTTACCTAAGCCAGGTTTACACGTGTAATTGTCATGGCTGTTTCACTGCTGCTATTCTGTAACATTTCTGCAGTCTTAATGGGCCTTTTTGTCTTTGGCTTTCTGCAGAGTACAGACTAGTCATTTTGTAGAATTTCTCTCAATTTGGTTTTTTTTCCGCAAGATTTGGTTCAGATCTTACATCTTTGGCAGGAATCCAGTGTAGGTAGTTACATCTTGATATGTTAAACGATTTTTTTCAGTTCATCCCCCATATCCTCTGCCTCCCACGTTTTCTTTCATCTCGCATAACTCTTACACTTTTCCTGAGCTTCCCACCACGTCAGGTTGTGTTGCTAACTCTCAGTCATACCAGGTGACCAGAGCAGGCACGGCAGGGTCGTGGTGGCAGGAGTAGCAGTCATTAGAGCCTAGGTGAGGCCGGAGTGGCCAGAGCTTAAAGAGTAGGGGCAGGATTTTAAGTGAGGCTGAGTGGGCTACCAGGGTTTCACAGAGCATGCCAAGGAATTGCACTCTGCCCAAGCATCTACAGTAGATATTTATGAGGGAACATTCATATGCACGTCTTCCCAGGGCCCATGGTGAGTGGGTGGAAGCTCTGGGGAAAGACCACCCAGAATGGAGGGTGTGGCCCTTCCTGAGTTTAGGGAACATTAGCTACAGCTCTAGAACCCAAGACCTTTTCTCCTCCAAGGACTGGACAGCTCAGTCACACAGCCCTCTGGAAGGCTGAGGCATCCATGCAGGCTTCAAGAACCAAGTTCATTTTCTCCACCCACAGGGCTGACTTTGCTGGCCTCGGCCAGCCGGGACCGACTGATCCATGTGCTGAATGTGGAGAAGAACTACCACCTGGAGCAGACCCTGGATGACCATTCATCCTCCATCACAGCTATCAAGTTTGCTGGTGAGCCTCTTCCATCCAGCTTCCTGTGCCTTTAGGATTCTTCCCTCTAGCTCAGTAGTAAAGGAGAGACAAGCTCCAGATTTAGGTTAGCTATATCCAAAGAAAAAAGTTTTAGTTTTTTTTGTTTATAAAAATTAATGTCCATAGATTTTATTTACACCATGTATAGTGGTATACACCTGTAGTCCCCACTACTTTGGAAGCTGAGGCAAGAGGGTCTCTTCAGCTCAGAAGTTTGAGGCCAACTTGGGCAACATAGTGAGACCACCATCTCAAAAAACAAAGCAAATGATTTTGAAAACACAAAATATTTTCCATTTTTGTCTCTTAATAAAACCCTAAATTAGCCAGGCACAGTGGTATAAGCCTGTTCCCAGAACTTGGGAGGCTGAGGCAGGATGTTCACAAGTTTGAAACCCATTTAGGCAACTTGGTAAAGCCCTCTCTTGAAACAAAAAGTAAAAAATCCTGGAGATGCAACTGAGTGCAGTAGAAAATTATTTACAGATAATCTTGTGAGTGAGAATGTGTTGATATTCTTTGGTCTCCCCACTTTCTGCCTTGCCTAGCTGAGGGGATAGGGACGCAATGTTTGGTAGGTTTGGATGAAGATCTTACGAAGGCCTTTGGTGTGCTAAAACTTCTCAGACATCCCATCTATGTTCTGTGGGACTTAGGGAGTTAGAATAAATGAGTAAATCTAACAACTTGACCAGTAGGGGACACCTCTAGTGAATGGTCTAGATGCTGAGAGGAAATGACTGCCCAAGGAAGTAGGCAGGAGTCAGTCCTTACAACCCACTGGTAAAGGGCATGGCCCATTTCTACAGGTCCCAGACAGCCTGAGAAGACAAAGAATTCCCAAGCCAGGCTCCAGGGTATCCTGCATAGCCAGTCAGAACCCAGTGGAAGCTGGAAAAATTTCACCAAGGAAAAATTCAGTGTTGAAACCATCATCTGTGAAATATATACCCAAACCAGCAAACATAATGTCTGCAGTTTACGGCCTGTTACCGTGACCATCCACATCAGAGTGACAGTTGGTAACAACTGGGGCAGATACCTCGCTGTTTATGGCGAGAGGCTGTTCTCATTGCTCGTGGTCTAAACATTGGTTAATGCTTGGATTTAGCACCACCAGGCTTAGAAGCAGGACATGACCAGGAGCTTACAGGTCCTCCCTGGTTCCCTCCGAGGTCACACTTCACTCCCCACAGGGCTCACTCCCTTCTGCACACGTGGTGACTCCTGTCAAGTGACATCTAGTTCTTACGTCAGGTCCCAACTCTCAAATTTCCTGTCATGAACAAGCAGCATCACTTATACCAAGACTCTGTTTCCCGTTTGTTCAACTCTTACCCTGAAAAAGACAGGAAAATAATAAAAGTGAGACCATTCACAGCGCTTGCCCCATGGCAGTCCTGTTCCAAAGGCTGTGCATGACTCTACAGTGGGAAGGACTGTTCTTAGGCCCATTGTACAGACAGGAAGCCGAGGCTGTGAGGGATGGCCCAGGTTCAGAGCACAGCATGGAGCAGCTGTGAACCTGGCACCAGAGAATGCCTGTGTTCAATCATGGTCCCGTCCTGGCCTTCTGTGCACCTTGGGACAAGGGCTTTGTATCACTGAGTTCCTGTGTTCACAAGTGTGCATTCAGGAAGATGAGATCAGGCGCATACACAGGGCCTACCCTAAGATTCATGTGGGTGTCCCAATTGTTCTTGGTTGCATTCGCCTCCTACCTGTCTTCACTTATCCCTGCTATAATCTCACCCATCTGTTCTAGCTCGCATATTGGAGATGGTGTCCCATCTCTGTCCCTGGTCTTTGTATCCCTATGTGCCCTTGCCCTGCAGAGCCTACACTCGGCTCTCCTCCGGGCAGTCTTTCTGATCCGAGCAGAGTTGGTTGAGTGCCTTTGCAGTGGAGTTTCTTAGTTAGGGTTCCCATCTGTGTGGCCCAGCCCTAGGTCACCCTCTGCTCCTTCCTCCCCCAGGCAACAGAGACATCCAGATGATCAGCTGTGGGGCCGACAAGAGCATTTACTTTCGCAGTGCCCAACAGGTAGGGTAGGGTGGCCTCCTTGGGAACTGGATCTGGAGCTTGTCAGAGGTGTCCTCTGAAGGTCTTACCTGCCCTGCCAGACCTCAGATGGACTCCACTTTGTCCGTACGCACCATGTGGCAGAAAAAACCACCTTGTATGACATGGACATTGACATCACACAGAAGTATGTGGCTGTGGCCTGCCAAGACCGAAATGTAAGGTGAGGAGCTTCCCTGCCTGTGTGGTTCCTGAGAAGCTGAGGAGTGAGGAACCCAGGAGGTATCTCTTAGAAGCCATGTTCGTACAGGATTAGCCACCAGGCACACAGAGGGCTCCCTTCTTGCTCTCCCAGGGGCCTTTGAGGGGTGACTGAGAAGTGCTGACAGCGTAGAAACTCACTCCTTCACCCACTTTCATGACCCTCTGTCTGGTCTGGATAGTGCTGGGGTTACGGCAGTGGCCAGAGCAGCCCAGGTTCTTTATGGAGCTCACAGTCTGGAGGAAGGGGCACAGCCATTTCACCAGACAGTGATAGAGCAGAGAGGTCAGAAATGAGGTAGGGGACACCAACCCCATCAAACAGGAAGCTTGGGGAAGTGTAATGTCACCTTCATGATTCATTCAAATTAGGGTGGCACTAAGCTTGCTGGGTAGAAGGGAACAGACCCTAACTCCAAATACATAGCTTTCAGCCGGGCATCGTGGCACACGCCTGTAATCCCAGCACTCGGGAGGCTGAGGCAGGAAGATCTTTGTGAGCTTAAGACCAGCCTGGGCTACCAAGTGAGCTAAAGGCCAGCCTGAACTGCATAGTGAGACCCTGTCTCAAAAAAGACAAAAAGAAAAAAAAGACCAACAATTATATAGCCTTCATAACCTCACCTTGAGGAGGATTTCACTCCAGGCATCAGAAGGGCACAAGAGGTAGTAGCATTTCCGAGTGGAGAGGACAGCAGGAGCCAGGGGAAGGGGTCTGGCAGGGCCCTCCTTATGTCCCCACATTGTGCCCCCCTCCCCAGGGTCTACAACACGGTGAATGGGAAGCAGAAGAAGTGCTACAAGGGCTCCCAGGGCGATGAAGGCTCCTTGCTGAAGGTGAAGTGTGGGGGCCCCTCAAGAGAACCTCAGGCACCCCACACAGGACCCTGTCTGCTGCCTCAATGGGCCATCTTAGACCTGGGTCCTTGGTGCTTAACCAAAATGTCATATGCTAGCCAGCACCCACTCAGGCCTGATTACCCAAGGAACTTTGGTGTGGGGAGCAGTCCATGTTTACTGAGCCCTTCCCCAAGTGGGGATGCCTGAGTGGGGCTCGGTTTGCATGGCAACAGAGTATGCTGGGAAGAAGTAGAGTGGGTGCTTCTCAAAGCCTTGGGCCTAGAGAGTTGCTCTGAGTTCAAGTTCTACCATCTGCCTTGAGCTGGCTGTGTGACCTTTAATAGGCACCATCTCTTTAACTGTTTTATCATTTGTAAAATGCAAGTAAAAACAGCCCTTAAGCCTGGCATGGTTATAAGGACATGCTTACAGGCACACAGCCTGAGGCAGGAGGGTCACAAGTTCAAGCCCAGCCTAGGCAACTTAGCAAGACCCTGTCTCAAAAGGAAAATAATTAAAAAGGCTGGGGATGTGGCTTAGTGCGAAGGCCTTGGGTTCAGTCCCCAGTACTATAAAAAAGGAAAAAACCAAAAATGAAACAGCCTCTGTCCTTGGTTATTCTGTGGAGGAATTAAGCTCATCCATGTGCATTGCTTAGTACGGGGCCTGGCACTATTATTACTGCATGGTGGTTATTAATATCTTGACCTGCAAAGTGGGAGCAGGAGTGCCTCCTGCCAGGCTATGTGTGTGTTTGTTGGTTAGTTTTTTGGTTTGGTTTTGATTTGGTTTTTGGCTTTTTGAGACAGGGTCTTGCTATGCAGTTCAGGCTGGCTTTGAACTCACTATGTAACCCAGGCTGACCTTGAACTTGTAGCAATCTTCCTGCCTCAGCCTTTCGAATACTGGGATTACAGGTGTGCACCACCATGACTGGCTTATCAGGCTGTGTGTTGTGAGGGATCCCTGTGATTTCCTGTACCAAGCATCCAGCACAGCATGGGCCATCAGTCAGTGAAGGTGAAGTGTTTGGTCCAGGCCTCACAGACACATTGAAGCAAAGTAACAAGTGGGTCCTCTCCTGGCAGGTTCATGTGGACCCCTCAGGCACCTTCCTGGCCACAAGCTGCTCTGACAAAAGCATCTCAGTGATCGACTTTTACTCGGGCGAGTGTGTTGCCAAGATGTTCGGCCACTCAGGTGAGTGAACCTTGCTGCCTGGGCCGCCTGTCCAGCTGCCCACAACTTCTGCTTCAGAGGCCAAGGCAGCTTCTCTGCTTGGCTTGCAGAAATCGTCACCAGCATGAAGTTCACCTATGACTGTCGTCACTTGATCACAGTGTCTGGAGACAGGTCTGGAGACCGCCACTGGCTGGGCATTCTCCGGGATGGGTGGGGTACTGTCACAGGGAGAGTGAGGCTCAGAGACCAGCAGCACTGTGCTCTCAGCCTGCCCACACGGAATGCATTTCGGAGACTTCCAGCCTGGTCCTGCCGTGCAGTGTCATCCCATCTCATTTATTTTTTGTGACCCTGAGCCTCATTTACTGTCTAAAAGAGAGAGGACACTGCCTACCTGAAAAGCCATGTGATGAAAATGGAATGGGATGACGCTTGTGGAGTTTATGGTTGTTTACTGAGGAAGCCCCTTCCTTGGCTGCATTTGATTTACCACATTCCTGCCCTGAAGGCCCCAGAGCAGAGCCTGGTTTTGTGGAATGCTATAGGCCTGGGGCAGTAAGTGTGATAAAGTCCCCAGCCCTTGCACTGAGCTGATTGGGTGGCCAGGAAATGGAGAAACCCAGGTGGAGACCCAGGTGGCTCTAGGGTCAGACGTGGCAGTGCATCCCTTATTCAGCCTCCTTCCTCCTCCCCATCTCTCCTTGGCCTCTGTAGCTGTGTGTTCATCTGGCATCTGGGCCCTGAGATTACCACCTGCATGAAGCAGCACTTGCTGGAGATTGATCACCAGGAGCAGCACCGGCAGCAGCAGCCTAAAGACAAGAAGTGGGGCACCCACTGCAGGTCTTAGTGGCCCATCTGTCCTCCAGGGTCCCCACGAGAAGTGATGCTAGGCATATGTGCGGGGCCAGGACAGCCTGGTGGGGGAGACGGACTTTGAAGCAAAGTCCCAGTGACACATAGAAGGGCCTCACAGAGCAGGGATGGTATGCTTGGTGACCTCTGAGCACTGTGATGAGAAAGCTCCAGGGCACTAGGGGAATCAGAGAGGGCCCTGACTGAGCCTACAGTAGGGAGAGATGGGTGGCCAGGGAACGTATTGGAGGGGCAGGTCCAGTGGAGCTGAGTGTCCTCTTAATCTCTATGAGAAAGTTACTCTTATTTTAGTCTCCTAATTATACTTCTTTAAGATCTTTGTGCTACAAATGAGCTTTATTTGGACCAAACTCAGGCTCAGGTTTTTTATTGGTGGTGTTGGTTTGGGGATGCTCTTTGTTTTTTGTTTTTTGTTTTTGTTTGTCTTTTTGAGACAGGGTCTCGCGCAGTTTAGGCTGGCCTTGAGCTCACTTTGTAGCCCGGGCTGATTTCGAACTCATAATGATCCTCCTGCCTCAGCCTTCCAAATGCTGGGATTACAGGCATGCGCCACCATACCTGGAAGGGGGTGCTCATTTTGAATGGGAGGATTTTGAGTTTTCTTCTCTGTTGCCTCTGGGTCTGTCCCTGTCTGAGCTTGTCCTCCTGGAGGCTTTTACTGTTTCTTTTTTTTTTTTTTTTTTAAAGAGCAGAATATGTTTATTGAGGGAAAGAAAGCTTCTGTCCAAGAGAGGAATAGAAGGAGGGCCTGAGTGGGTTACCCCTACTGTTTCTTCATTCAGGCTTCCAGGGCTCTGTGCTGACCAGGGGCTGACATGGGCCACCTGCCCTGAGGTTGTGCGGCAGTATCACAGACCTGCAGCAAGGGAGTGGCAGTGCCCTCTGGCACCTGGATGTTAGGCCCACCCCACTCCTTGCGGCTGTGAGCTGGATCTTGGCTCCAGGGTCTGCCTTGTTGAGCATGATTGAGTTTCCACACTGGAGGAAACAAAATCTCTTTGCTCTTTCTTTAAGAGAACCTGGCCGCACAGGACTGCAGCCTCATTGTGTACGTTGTTTTCCGTCCCATAGCAATGCCTTGGAGAGTCTCTATTCTTGTCAAGCCCAGCCTTTGCCATATCCCCTTGCTGGGGTTGGTGGGCTTTTAGCAGGGGGCAATGTCAAGTGAGAGACCTCCCAGCATCATCTTGACTAGAAGCCGAGAATATGTTCCTGGCACAGAGCCTGGCTCTAGGCAGCTCCTCCCCTCACCTCGTTTCCCTGTATTTCTCTCCATCCCCTTCCTGGCTTTAGGCAGGAGATGTATGCTTCCATGTCCAGCGAGAAGATTCACTCCCTGAGCCCTGGAGAGCAGTCAGAGGATGAGATGGAGGAGTGTGAACCAGATGAGCTGCTGAAGACACCATTCAAAGAGAGCTTGGATCCAGGTTAGGAAAGGCGTCCCATTTGAACTCCATCCTCATGGGAAATCATTGCTAAGTCTTGCACACTGCTTTGTTTTGAGGGCCTGGAACGTATTAAAGCTCAGTAGTCAGGGCCTGGCACATATTGAAACTCAATAATCATATCAGTCAAGACTCCTTCAGTATAATAGCAACTAAACTCTCACTGCTATAAGCTAGACAGAGAATTTTTTTGGTGCATATAACTGAAAATTCAAGGTTGTCTTCAGGTGTGGCTGGACCCTGGTATTCAGCTCATTGTAGGATATTTTTCTCTGTCTCGATGCTGCTTTCTTCATATTACTTGTGCTTTCAGGCAGATTTTCCCTTTACTAGGGTAAAAGGTGTCCCCAGCAGTTACAGGTTTATGAAACTCAGTAAAAAGGAGAATAACTCAGGAAAAATTCTAAAGTGTGAATCATTGACCATTTTTGAGCCAATCACTGTAATTGGCCAGTTCTGAATCATGCGATCAGTTCTGAGGGAAGATGCTTTAGTCAGTTCTACTCAAACTACCTGATTGAAAATGAGGGGTTAAGAGGGGTGGGAGACCAAAAGCACCATGTTTTTCCCAGAAGACAGAAGAGATTCCATTGTTCAGGCAAAGGGGAGAGTAGCTCAACAACTCTGTGAAAAGCCAGGGTCTCTAAATATCTTCCTCTCTACATAGCACCTCATGGTTGCAACATGGCTGCATACATTCCAGGCATCAGAGACATGATTGAAGAAGTGAGACATGTTCCCCCACCAAAAATCTTGAGAGGGAAAACTTTCCCAGAAGTCACTGGCAGACTTTTTTGTCCCCTTGGCCATGCTGCCTACAATTATGAGAGGCCAGGAACATTGGCCCCTCACTGAGTGTTTTAAAGGTTGGTGATGGGCTCTCCCTGCAAGGGGAAATTAGGTAGGGGCTGACTGAGAGGTAACAGCAATGTGAGAATTCAACCTTGGAAACTCGAACACCCCACCCAGTGCAACCTCCTCTGTGGGTTGATCACTTTTACTAGTTTGGCATGAGTTCTTGTAGGCCTTTCCCTAAACATGAATATACCTGTGTGCGTAGCCACAGCCAACACATATTCTCTGAATTGTGATATACAGCAGATACTATTCTCTTTTTCCTCTCTAAAGTGTCTTATCCAAGTGAGCACAGTGGCACATGCGTGTGGTCCCAGCTACTCATGAGGCTGAGGCAGGAGGATCACCAATTCGAGCCCATCCCAGGCAACTTAATGAGGCCTTGTCTCAAAATAAAATAATTAACACATTCCTGCTGATTTGAACAACTGGTGGCACATGCATGACTACCCCATTGGGTGGCTTGAACCACTGGTGGGACAGTGGACCTAGTCACTTTTATTGATCTTTTTACTAATTAATAAAAAGCCGCCTGATGGGACAACCATGCATGTACACCAGTGGTTCACGACTGCTGGCAGCAAGACATACAAGTTCAGCCCCGTTGTGAATGTGTTAAAGAGGGTAGGGGTGTAGCCTAGTGTTTTCTGGTTCAATCCCTAGTTCCATAAAAACAAAACAAAGTATCTCATCCACTGGTGCCTCAGTGGGTACAAAGCAGAAGCTGCCCTTTTCAACCAGTACTGTGGTAGAATTCAATGTTTCCCCTCCAAGTGGGCTTTTAGGTTTTTCCTGATTTCACACCATATTGTGCAAGAGGCTCTGCCATGATGCTGGGTCTCCTCCTCAGGCACATGTGCGTATGTTTCTCTTTTCCCCTGGGTGGAGGTTGGAGAGTGGATTGTTGGGTTTAGGTTAGAATCTGTGCACATGTGTGTGTGTGTGTGTGTGTGTGTGTGTGTGTGTGTGTGTGACTGGTGATTGAACACAGGGCCTTCATATTCAACTACATCCCTGAGGTGTTGCCCACACCGCACCGTTTTGAGATATGATCTGGCTAGGTTGCCCAGGCTTGTGATCTTCCTGCCTCAGCCTCTTAACCTCCCAGAGTTCAGGGATTACAGGCATGAACCACTATGCCACTTGTCCGTGTGGCCCGCTTGTCTCTTGAGTTGTTGTCCTCTGTTCATGGATGCCATGTGTCTCTCCAGATCCTCAGTGCCTGCTGACCAACGGCAAGCTGCCTCTCTGGGCCAAGCGGCTGGTGAGTCTTCCAGGGGCTGACAAGGGAGGGGCCCTCCCTCTCCTCTTCTTCCTGGGAACCCACTCTTCCTTTTCCATGTCTTTCCTTTCCCTGGAATAGTTCACTGCCCTCTGGTCTCAGCTCATCCCACCTTTGGATCACATAGGCCTGTGCCCAGCACTGTTCTGACCATTAGAAATAAAACAGTGAAGGGGCAGACAAATGCTCACCCTTACATGCTCACTCCGTAGTGTAGGAGAGGGACAGTACCCACCTTAAATAAATGACGAAGTTGTGTGGTGTATTGGGAGCGGATAAGGAAGGAAAACATTGGGAAGGAAGGTAAGTGTTGGCCTGGCAATTTAGGGTAAACAGAAAAGGCAGCACTGGCTAGATATCATTGAGCGAGACACAGAGATGCAGGGAAAGAACGCCTCAGACAGAACGGTCTACAAGTGCCTCCCATGAGGCAGGATTGTGCCCAGCATGTTCAGGAAGAGCACCAAGCGGAGGCGCCTGGCTTGTGGGTGAGTGAAGGGCCCAGAGGGGAGAGAAGGGCTCAGAGAGGAAACGGGCCAGATGGCTGGCGATGTAGCTGTGGTGAGGCCCCTCCACACTGCTCCGCTTCTTCCCCGTAGCACTGAATGACAGAGTCAAGGAAGGGATGGGTCCAGCTCGGGGATGGACAGTCCTGCAGCTGCGCTTGGGAACCAGGCTAGGGTGAGCAGGGGGCAAGGAGGAGGCAGGAGAGATTGGGGGCTGGGCCAGGAGAAAGAAAGAATTGGATTCTTTTTTTTGGTTTTTTTTTTTTTTGCTTTTGTCTTTTTGAGATGGTCTCACTGTGCAGTTCAGGCTGGCCTTGAGCTCATTTTGTAGCCCAGGTTGGTCTCGAACTCACAACAGTCCTCCTGCCTCAGCCTCCCAAGTGCACCACCACGCCCGGCAGTGGTTGGATTCTTGATGGATTTCAGAGGTAGAGCCGGTCACCGGGATGGGAGAGGAAGAAGAGGCCCAAGACAATACACATATAGAATGATCATTGACTTGGGCAAGGAGCAGGCTAGGAGCTGGTGGGTGAGAAGCCAGCAGCAGAGTGTAGACCCTGAATGTCATTGCTGCTCCCTCAACACAAAACTGAGGGTTTAAAATTGTTTGAAATCCAGCCAGGAATAGTGGATGCCTGTAATCCTAGAACTTGGGAGGCTGAGGCAGGAAGAATGCAGCAAGTTCAAGGCCAGCCTTGGCTACATAGTGAGACTCTCAAAAAAAGAAGAAAAAGATTGTTTAAAATCCAAATGTACTGGTGTTCACAATCAGTTTTTTCCAGGCTCTGTAAGTGATGAGCCATAGCACAGAAGTCACCCAGTAACATCTGAGACTTCAGGAGACGCATTTGAGTCAGTGCGCAGGGCCTCCCGGGCCCTCCTGCCTCACTTTCTCCGCCACGCCTTGCTGTCCTGTGACGCTGTGGTAGCAGGGGGGTTGTGGCACCTGGGTTTACCCACCCCTGGCTCATGTGTACCCAGGGGAACAGCGCAGGTTATGCATCTCTGTAGGACTCAGTTTAGCTCACGTACAAGTGAATTCATTTTGGCTTTCAATATCACTTTCTCAAATAACTAAACTACTGTGCATAATTCAGAGGATTTATTCAGTTCTTATGTATAGCAAACTGAGTATTTATGTATAGCCTAAAACAAAAATAAGTGTGCATCTTCTCAAAAATAAGTGTGTGTAGCTGGGTGTGGTGGCGCACGCCTGTAATCCCAGCACTTGGGAGGTGAGGCAGGAGGATCATTGTGAGTTCGAGATCAGCCTGGGCTACATAGTGAGTTCAAGGCCAGCCTGAACTGCATAGCAAGACCCTGTCTCAAAAAAAAAAGACCAAAAAAAAAAGTGTGTGTGTCTCATGCATTGACATCATATATCCACCCTCCACATGATGCAGGGACCAGTGTCCTGTGAGGGGATTGCTGGTGGGAGTCAGGTGGCTCAGCACAGAGAGCGAGAGGCCCTGCCTGGGCCTGGGGCAAGGAGCCAGTGACACCAGCCTGGCAGCCTCAGCCCCCTTCCCTTCCATCTCTACGAGCGAGACACAAAGATACAGATACAGATATGTATCCCTACAATCCCAGCATCCTGGGAAACTGAGGCAAGAAAATCATAATTTCTAGCCCAGCTCGGTCAACTTAGTGAGATCCTGTCTCAAAATGAAAAATAACAAAGGGCTGGGGGTATCGTTCAGTGGGAGACCCTGGGTTCAACTCACAGTGCCAAAAGGAAAACAGATTTTTAAAAGATGTGAGATTAGTGACTGATCCGAGGCAGGAGGGCTCCAGAGCCCACGCTCTCAAAAGCCACCCTCTGCCATTTTGTCAGGAGACAGCAGCAGGCAGGACCAGGGTGGGGCTGAGGAGGAGTAGTTCTATTGGGGGTGTATTTGGACAGCAGAGCTAACAGACTTTGCAGATAAATAGCATGTAGGGCATAAGGGATAAAGAGGAAAGAAGGATAATGTCAAGGCTGGGACCTGAAGAACTGGAAAGAATAACCAAGGCAGGGAAGGCTTCAGGAGAGCGGGTTGGGGGAATTGGGAGAGGGTTTTCAGCATGTTAACTTTGGAATAGCAACTAAGTATCATGTGGAGGGATAGCACAGCTGCATAAGAGAGAGGTTCGGGCTACAGATGTATTTCTGGAGATACGTGTTTCAAGCCAAGAGACTGGATGAGGTCCATGCAGTGTCATGGCCCTCCTTGGAGCTGGTAAGCACTTGGCTGGCTGGCTGATTGTCCCTGTCCCTCAAGCTAGGAGATGATGACGTGGCAGATGGTGCAGCCTTCCATGCCAAGCGCAGCTACCAGCCACATGGCCGCTGGGCGGAGCGGGCTGACCAGGAGCCCCTCAAGACCATCTTGGGTGCCCAGGATTGCTACTTTACCCCCATGAAGCCCCAGCATCTGGAGGACTCCAGTCTGGACACAGTGGAGCCGCAGAGCCTGGCAGGCCTGCTGAATGAGGTACATCCTGCCCACCCAACTGGGCCTGCAGCCCCTGCACCATTATGACTGTCCACCCAGGACTTGAGGCCTTGACACTCTTGTTTTAAAAACAAGGCTGACTGTCCCACTCTCATGGTATGGAGAGGGTTACAGGAGATAGTAGCAGGCAGGAGGATGACCCGCTAGCCTGTTACATAGTGGACTTCCCAGGGGAGATACAGTCTTTGGGAATGGGCTGCTTGCCCGCCCCAGCACACACACACCCGCTAGGGGAGATACGGTCTTTGGGAATGGGCTGCTTGCAGGTTGGAAACTTGGGCCCCCCCCCACACACACACTTGGGCCACACACACATCCCCCAAAACTTGGGCCCAAGAAGAGGACTGTTCCTAAGTGGGGGCATTTCAGTAGATAGACCCCTGGCTTAATCCCTCCCTGGCTGTGTGACCTGACATAAGATGTTTGCTTCCTAGACCTTGATTTCCCAAAAAATGGTCATATCAAGGTCCTCTGCCTCAAAGGACTTTCGTTTTTGTTTTGTTTTTTTTTTTATTGGGTCTCACTATGTAGGCTATGCTGACTTTGAACTTGCTATGTAGCCCAGGCTGGCCTCACAATCCTTCTTCTTCAGCCTCCCAAGAGCAGGGATTATAGGCCTGTACCACCAGCCCCAGCTTTGTGTGTGTGTGTGTGTGTGTGAGAGAGAGAGAGAGAGAGAGAGAGAGAGAGAGCCACTGGGGACAGAACCCCCAGTGGCTCTCTACCAGTGAGATACATCTACAGACATTTTTAATCTTTATTTTGAGACATAGTCTCACTAAGTTACTCAGGCTGGCCTTGAACTTGCAATCCTCCTGCCTCAGCCTCCCAAATGCTGAGTTTACAGGCATGTACCACTGTGCCTTTTTTTTTTTTAAATCTTGAGACTGCCTCACTAACTTGTAAGTTTCCCAGGCTGGGCTCGGATGTGTGGTCCTCCTGCTTCAGCCTCCCAGAGTGCTGGGATTACAGGCATGAGCCACCACATCTAGCTGACTATCATATAAATAGGTCCTGGGGGTTGGGTGTCTTGTCATGTTTGGACCCATAACTGTTCCTCATCTGTGAGGGGAGTGACAGTGCAGGGGGAGCTCAGAGGGAGCAGGCCCAGGCCCAGGCCCTACTCAGTGTCCACCCGTGGGGATGCCAGCCCTACTCCTATTACCTGTCCACTGTTGGTGTAACAGCCAGCAGCTGTGAGGGCCTGGGTGCCATGACTGCCTCAGACGGCTCTGCTCTTCACCCCTAGCCTGAGAGTCCCCAGGACGATGGCTGTGAGTGCCCCACCTTCCTGCCCCTACAGAGGGAGTCATCTGAGGCCAGCGAGCTTGTCATCTACTCCCCGGAAGCAGAAGAGACCATCACAGGGGCAGACAGGTGGGTGCCCTGTATACTAGGGAGGCTCGATCGTAAAGAAGCCCCTTCTGATCGGAGACCCTGCAAGAATTGCTCTCTGCTCACCCAGCGAGCCTGTGGGTGTGGGAACAGGTGAGGCCCAGATGGGGCAAGAGCCAAGCCCTGCGGCCTCAGCTGCAGCCTCGGTTTCCTTGGTCCCAGGTGGGGTGCAGGGGGCCCAATGGGAAGGAAGCATTTGGAGGGGGTGGGATAAGCCACAGCATTGCTCCCAGCAGGAGCAGAGCATGGTGCCGAGGGGATTGGCGTGGGACCTGCTTGTCATTCTCCAGTGTGACCCTCTCCCCCTTGGCATTGCAGCGAGTACTGCGAGAAGGAGGTAGAGGCAGGCCCTGGAGACCAGCAAGGGGACTCCTACCTCAGGCTGTCCTCCGTCAGCTCAAAGAATCCAAGCCCACCCGAAAGTGAGTGAGGGGCACACGGGGACTCTGTCAGCCAGGTCTCGGTCCTTCTGAAGCCCAGAGTGCTGAGAAGCAGACATGGTCTCTGCTATTATCTGAAGATTCTGAGCCCCGGCCATAAGGCAAGAGCCCAGCTCTGCCACCTCCTTGATGTGTAGCTGGCTGGTCTATAAAAACAGGCAGTACTGTTATCAGCCACAAAGCCTAGAGCAGCAGAGCCACTTGCCCTGGCTCACCCAGCAAGGCCCCCGGCGGGGTCTTGACCCACCTTGGCTCCTTCAGACTTGCGGGAGTTAGAGGCCAGTGTGGAATGCAGCTTTGCCTCCATCCTCTCCTCCCCCCATGGCCTAACCGAGAGCCTGGGTTCACCATGCCCATGCCACGTAAGCCAGGGAAGCCAGGCATGTGGGGAAGCGCAGTACAGGGGCCTGGCCAAAGGACAGTCACAGTATACAATAACCCCTGGCCCCAACTGCGCCTTCGTTTCCTTGCATGGAAGTCAGGAGCTTTTCTTTCTCAGACTGGTGGCAACAGGGTGTGTGGCAGGTGAGTCTGCCATTCTCCATTGGCAAGTGGCAACAGCCATGACTCATGGTGTTGACAGTTTCTGTGTGCCCTGCCCATCCCTCCTACCACCTCTCCCAGGATGCCCGGGTGCAGCAGAAGAGTCGTCTAAGCCTGAGGGGCCCGGCTTAGCCAAAGGCTCCCTGCCCCAGACCCCTGAGCAGGAGAAGTTCCTCCGCCACCACTTTGAGACACTTACTGACACCCCTCCTGAAGGTAGGGCCCAACCCTGTGCCAAACCTGCCTGGGCTGTCTGTCCAGTGCTGGGCGGTGTGGGTGTCCCTGGAGTGGAGCTGCCCCTGGCGGGCCAGGTGACAGCCAGAGTGGGGCAGAGGAGCAGACCCCTTCTCTTATGGACTGAGCTGCACTGTTCTGCCTCTCCCTGTTCTGTTCCTTCCTGTTGTGTGTGTGTGGTGCCTGCTGACGGGGGTTTCTGGAGACCCACTGGCTGGCCTGTGGATCTGCCTGGGCCTGGGGCTGGTTGGCTGAGGGGATTCTCAGGGCCCTGTGGGCATCTCCCTTTAGAGCTCTTCCATGGGTCCCTGGGAGATGTGAAGGTCCCTGAGACCGAGGACATTTTCAATCCCCGGCTGAGCATCTCCACGCAGTTCCTCTCTCGCCTCCAGAAGACGTCCAGGTAGAAGTAATAATGCCCCCACTCCCAGCTCACTGTGCCCTGAGCCCCCACAGAGCTGTGACCCACAGTCACCCAAGGTAGACCGTGTGAATGTCCCTCTCTGACCAGGCTTCCTCCCGCAGGTTCACCCAAGCCTTCCCTCCCCGGCTGCCTCTGCACCTTGTGAAGTCTCCTGAGGTCAAGTCCACAGGCCGAGGGGGAAGCCAGCCCAGAGCCGAACCCCTGAGAGCAGGTATTGGCTGCACCTCCCCAGACGGGACCAACGTGAGTATTAGGGTCCTCTCCTCAGGGCACAAGACTGAGCGCCAGGAAACCTTGTCCTCACCTTAGCTGTGCTTTCAGGTCCTTTCTGGGGGGAAAGCTGAAGAGCCCCTGGCAACCCTGGAGGTGTGGTGCCCACTGAGTGAGTACCCAGTCCCAGACAAACAGCCCTGGGTGCCCATCTGAACAGTGGAGGTGTCCATTCTACCTGCAGCCCCTGGGGCAGGGCCTTGTCCCTTAGCTCTGAGAGGTGTGAGCATGATCCATCTGTTTCCTTTACAGCGTCCCGCCTAACAGACCCAGCACCTAGTTCCTCTTCCTCTTCCATGCTGGCCACAAACAGGAAGTCTCTGACACCCACATCTGGAGTGTACACCCCAGGCCTGGCTCAGGGTGTCTGTGCCCCCTCCACCTGTTCCTACATGGAGACCACTGTGAGCCCTCGGGCCAAGATAGCACGTAGTGTCTCCCTTGAGGACAGTGAAGGGCCTGTCCTGACTGAGCTGGCCAGGCCCCTCCGCAGGCCTTCATCCATGGGGGAGCTAGCCTCCCAGGGCCAGGAGCTCCCAGCCGTCACTGCCATGGTGACACGCAGTTCTGTCAGTGGGGGCCAAGAATCTGCCCTGCCTTCCTTGGGCAACCATGAGGCCCGAGCCAGCCTGAGACTGACCCTGTCTAGTGTCTGTGACAGGCTTTTCCTGTCCCCATCCCTGCTGGAGCCACCCACCACATGTGTCTGGTCCCAGGGGCCTGTAAACACCCAGCCTAGCGTCTCAGTCACAGCAGCTAGCTTCCTCACCCCAAGCCCTGCAAATGTGAGCACCCTAGGGGTCCACAATTCTACCCTTCTACCAAAGCTCCCAGTCCCCTCACCCCTCACCCCTCCTGCCCACCCCTACAGTCCCCAGCTTCCAGAAGCCAGGCCTGGGGTCCCCAGTACCACCACCTCCATCCTGGAGCCCTCCCCTGGTGAGTACCACCTTGGGGCAAGGTGCTCATCCCTGTGCTAGTTGGCTCAGCTCCTGACTGGACACTGACTGCGCCCTTCTTCCACTGGCTCATTTACTTAAATACTTAATGGGCTCTTGATCTGTGGTGGGCTTTGTTCCAGGCTCTGAGGACAGGGGACATGCTGGGGAGCAAGGCAACAGGAACTGACATCTGAATTAAGGGAGATCAGACAAAACCTATAAGGAAAGTGTCAAATACATCATAAAGTGATGCATGCTAAGCAGAGAAATAAAGAGTTGGGATTGGGCAGTGAGGAGGAGGAGGACAGTGGCTGCCCTTTCAGTAAGATGATGAGAGAAGGCTTCGGGGAGGTCACCTCTAGCAGAAACCTGCTGCGGGGAGAGAAGGGAGCCAGGGGGACTGAGGGACATGCTTGCAGTCAGCCCACCATGTGGCTCTCACAGCCCAGCTAGGAAGCGCAGTGCCTTACTCCTTCCCTCCCTTTGCCCCAGATGCACCCCATCAGATCCACGGCAGCCCTGGCTACTGGAGGGAGCCCATGCTGCCCGCGCCCCTTGAGCTGAGCAGTGTGAGGAAGGTCCTGCATAAACTACAAACTGCCTTCCAGGAAGCCCTTAACCTTTACCACAGGGTGAGCTAACAACCCAGGGGAAGGCTGTGGGTCTCTGGGACTGTCTGGCCTGGCTGGCCCCTGACAGTTTCACATCCCCTGCAGTCGGTCTCCAGCAGCCGGATGGACACAGAGCAGCAGCAGGCACAGACAGAGCTGACTTCTACCTTCCGGTGGATCCACAGCCAGCTGGAAGCCACCAACTTGCTGATTGGGACTGACATGCCCCCACCCCAAACCCTGCCTAGCCTGGGTCCCCCACCCCCACCTGCCCTATGCCCGCTGGCCAGTCCAGACCTGCATGCCCTCCTGGAGCACTATTCAGAGCTGCTGGTGCAAGCTGTGCGGAGGAAGGCTCGGGGGGACTAAAGAAATAGGTATTTTAAGCAAATAAACTGACAGCTTACAGCAGTAGTTCCTGATGCCTGTCCTGTCCATCCACAGAGCCCTTCAAATGGATGCAAGGAGGGAGGGTAGTGACCATGCTTGGGGGATTAGCCTGGGACTCACATTCACTCCATTCCAGGTCCTATTCTAGGATTCTGGGAACGGAGAACATGGGACCAGCAGTAATAGCCTCCGGCATCGCCTCCCCCCAGCTCCCTGAACTGCTGCAGGAGGACCACATGTGTTCCTTCCTCAAGAGTGCCCAGCTACTATGCCCACAAGCCCATGGAGCAGCTGTCATCACCTTGTACCCAATGGTGGCCACCAGTACCTGCGTTGCTGTAGCACTGGCTTAAGTGCCTGGGCCAGGCCCACACCGGATCCTGCGAGGTTCAGGCTTGGCGTGTTGGGCTGATTAGCTATGTCCCTGCTGATTGCAACGGGAAACTGAGGAGAGTCGAACAGGCTCAACCCCCAGATAATCCCAGCAGCAGGCCCAGGCCACCCAGCAACTGGGACCAGTGATTTCTTCCCCAGCAGCAGGACTAGGCCAGCTTTCATCTTATAAGCTGCTATTACGGCGAGAAGCCAGAATCACTCATGCAAGCCGAGATGGGAACACACAGGGTTTTATTTAGCGTACACGGACAATACCCCAACTGTTGCCAGTCAGAGGCATCCATCCTGAAGATAGAGAAACAGGGTTTTATAGTAGTTGGTCCAGTTTCTAAAAATGGGGTACTTCCAGAAAGGCAGAATATAGAGTTTAATCACATAGTGAAAGTCATAGTCATGGGGTCATTACAGCATCTGTCAGAAACAGCATTTATCAGAAATAGAATGCTATAGTGAGACTGTCTCAAAAAGACAAAAAAAACCTGCTTACACATGGAAACTGCTTAACATGATTTGGGGAACAAGAGTGAATTCATCTAAAGTTTAAGGGTTTTAAAGTGGAGTTAGACTCAAAACGGAGTCTCTGCCCCCACACTGCCAGCTTTGGTACCAGTTCCCCATGCAGCAGGCAGATCACTACACACTACATCATGTGTCTGCTAAGATCACAGGCACCCCTGCTGCCCAAGTCCCTATAAAAAGGAAGTAATAAACCAAAGGGAAAAAAAGCCAGCAGGGCAGGGCTGTCTCCTAGAGCACAGTCCCCCCATGTGTCCTGCTGTCAGCTCTTACCTGCTTTTTGTGGCAGTCGTGGACCACCAGAAATGGGCTCAGACAACCAGTTTCTTGTGAGGGTCCCTGAGCTGTGACTCACACCTGTTTGCCAGTGGCAGAGTTGGACCCTTCAACATGAAGATACAGCTCTCTGCTGTCATGATACACTAATCATGCACATGACATGATACACTAATCATGCACTTGTTCAGAAACTCCTACAGCCAGGTATGGTAGTCCCAGCACTTGGGAGGCTGAGGCAGGAGGATCTTTGCGAGTTCAAGGCCAGCCTGAGCTACAAAGTGAGCTCAAGGCCAGCCTGAACTGCATAGCAAGAGCTTATCTCAAAAAGAAAAAAGAAAGCCAACCTGAACTATATACTGAGATTCTGTCTTAAAAAACAAAAACAAAAAACTCTTGCTAACCCCTAAGTGCCCATCACTGTTCTACACCTGAGGGGAGAGTGAGGAATAGGTCAGGCAAAGCATCTGCCATTGTGGCACTCACTTTCCAGAAAACAGCAGACACGGATTCGAGCCATGCTGGGTAACTGCAGGTAAGCCGGGGGGTTCCCTATGCTGGTTGAAGGGTCAGAGAAGGCTTCCCTAGGGGATAGTTGAGCTGAGGCTTAGAGGACATTTGGGGAACATACCCAAACAGGCAGAACAGCCAGTACAAAGGCCCTGGGGTGATCAAACATGATATGTATAAAGAACAGCAGCAAACTCAGGATGGCTGGAATTGGGTGAGCAGGGGAGAGGGCAAGAGATGAGGTGACAGGAGTAATGGGGGGCCCACTGGGCAGGATCTTGTTGCATTGAGACATTTAAGCCCAAGAAACATTTTTTCCTCTAAGTCCCTGTTAATGGTATTTGGGTATATGTCCAATATTGTCTATTTCTCATGGCTCTCTCCCTCTGCCTCAGAGGCCCAGAACTTGTAGGCAGGTCTGACCTCTGCCTAGAGGCTCCCTCAAGCTCATAGACCACCCAAGGTCCCCAAGGCAAGATTTGGTGTTCACAGACCCAGGAGACCTCTGTCCTTCATGGAATGACCTGACCACCTATATCATAGTACAGGCTTCCATTCCAAGTAATAAACAACTGACTTACAGGAGCTCAAACTCTGAAGACATTTGTTACTCAGCTATGTCAATACAGCCTTGGCCACTTCCTCGCTCATGCTCACACTCTTGAGTCACCTTTGCCTTCCAGCTTAGGGCCTCACATTTGCAAGATGGCTGCCGTAGCATCCAGCATTATATCCTCATTCAACCAGGAGCCAAGCTTTGAAGTAAGATGCCAGGGTAGCAGGAAAGAAGTACAAATTCTTCCCCAGAGGCCTCCTGTTAGGGCTTATATCCTGATGTCCCCACAAAGCCTCATGTGCTCATAGGTGCGGCTTTAGGGAGGTGACCAGATCACAGGTGTGTGATACTGGATTAATCTAGTGATGGGTTTATAGCTGGATGTGATCCTGGGAGGTGAAAGCTGGTGGGAGGTGTGTCATTGTGGACAGAGTCTGGAGATACATATCCATCCCTCTCCTGCTTTGTGCACTTGCTGCTTCTTGCCTGCCATGGGTGAGCTCTTTCTCCTCTGCCATGCCACCCTGCCTTAGAGCAGCTGACTCTGGCCTGACACCTTTGCAAACTGTGACCTAAAACCAACCTTTCCTCCTTTCAATTGTGGGTGTTGGGTATTGTGTCTCAGCAATGAGGAAACCAATGAAGACACCTCTCTTTTAGACCAGTCACAGGAACCAGGAATGGAGATTGCTTCCATTTACTCTGACCATCTCTCCCTTCCCGGGTGTACTTGTGCCAAAAAAAAAAAAAATTGGGTTCCTGCAAGAGAGGAGGGTGGAATAATATTTACAGAGGATCCAGCATGTTTACTACTACCCTCTTACAAGTGCCACACCTTTTTTTATTGAGACAGTCTTGCTATGTAGTTCAGGCTGGGGTTGAACTCACTATGTAGCCCAGGCTGGCCTTGAACTCACAGCAATCTTCCCACCCCCAACTTCCCAAGTGCTGGAATTACAAGTGTGCATCACCATTCCCAGTTCCAAGTACCACGCTTTTCAGCCCTAGATTAGGCTGTCTTCGGACAAACCATACGATCAGGAAATCACTGCTGGTGGTGGACTCTGTGTGCGTGCAGCTTACAAGTTGGCAGGGTCGCAGCAGGAAGATGATGGATGGCATCCTCGTGGGATAGATATTCCAAACAGAAGCCAACAAAGGAGTCCTTTAGCCAACCAGCTGTGGTGGCTCATGCCTGTAATCCCAGCACCTGTGATTCAAGCCCAGCCTGAGCTACACAGCAAGACTCTGCCTCTAAGAACCAAACCAAAGGAGTAGCCAGGGACCATAAGGGCTAGTACAGTCCCCTAGGACTGCTACCAGAGGGGAGCTTGTACCACCTCCAAGCACAAGATGCAAAAGAGGAACAAGAAGCCAGATGCTCGAGGACTGGTAATTACACAGGAGGGAGGTGGCGGGGGCCAGCACCCTGACCTTACTCTCCATCTCCTGCAGTGCACCCCATTGTCCAGGGCCTACAGGAAGCCAACGCACTTGGGAGCCCAGGTGAAGCGTCTACCAGTCAACAGTAACAGGACCTAGTTGCCTCAGGAGACATGGTGTGGGCACAGGGCACCTTCAAAGGAATAGAAAATGGCTCTCCCCCTTCTGTGTAGCTGCTCATCCTTCACTGCTCTGACCCTGTGTTCCACATCTACCCTTGATGTCCCTTTAACAGAAACTGTTAGGACAACTCCCAGATACTGCGCTGCCAGGCCAGCATCAGGCACACTGGCCACGGCCACACGAAATCCAGCAATTGTGAGATACAGCCATGGCTTAAAGCCCTATTTCACAGGCAAATCAGCTGTGGCCTGTGGCTTGCCAAGACAACTAACTCTCAAAGCTTTTTTCCCCCTGTTTTTTAGTGGTATTAAGGATTGAACCCAGAGTCACTGACCTACATCCTCAACCCTTTTTTAAAAAAAATTTTTTTTGACAGGTTCTCAAGACGTTGTCCAGGCTGGGCTTGTACCTATGATCCTCCTGCCTCAGCCTCCCAGAATGCTTAGATTATAGGGATGCACCACTATATGTAGCACCCTCAAGACTTTCTAGGGCCAGGGATATAGTTCAGTGGCACAAGCACCTGCCTGGCAAGCACAAGGTCTTGAGTTCAATTCCTGATACCAAAAAAAACCCACAACTTTCTACTCCCCACCTCTAGCACCATTTATGTGTGCCCTTGCTGGACTCCAGGTTAAGCACTATGCATGCGATCTATGGGGATGTTCAACACAAACTGTAGCAGGGAGACTCCTTAGTTTCATTTTTCAGATGAAGAAACTGCAGCTCAGTAAGAAGTGACTCGCCCCAGGTCCTGCAGAGATACAATGGCGAAGTTCTGTGTGGACAGCCTCCACACTGCTGCTCTTGTTTCTCTAAATGATCAGCAAGACCGACTGACTCTCAGATGTGAAGAAATATTCCTCTAACCCAGATGTGGTGGCACATGCCTGCAATCCCAGCACTCTAGGAGGCTAGGAGGCTAAGGCAGGAGGGTCACAAATTCCAGCCCAATTTATCAACTTAGGGCAATTTAGCAACTTAGCAGTACACTGTTTGAAGACATTAAAGTGGGGAGAGGCTGTGACAATAGGCCATTGTGAAGGCCCTACGTTCAAACCCCAGCAACGAGGAAAAAAAACCCAAAAAAACTCCTATCATCACCAAGCCTTTATACTGAATGTTCCCTCTGCCTGGAACACCCTCTCCTCCACCTGAACCTTCTCTTTCAGGGGTCACGTCCAATCTTTGAACCCCTCTGCTGGATCAGGAGCCTCTTCTGGGCCCCAGAGCCCCTCAGGTGTCTTGATCATTCTGAGCCGCTGTCTCCTTCATGGACAAAAACATTCATTTCCAGAGCTGAGCTAAAGGTGGAGCTCAGAAAAGTGTTGGGTGAATGAGAGAAAGCAACTGTGTGGAGAGAGTTTAAAATTCTTAACCCCCCAGTTCAGAGGTCAGACAAGGACCAACCTAGAAAAGAACCAGCCAGACTGTTGGGAAAAGGTCCTGGGAACCCGTCTGTGTCAGATGACCCCTTTTGGTTTCCAGGCTGTGGGAAGGGGAAGTGGTGTCTCAGGCAGCCACCAGGGGCTGGACTGTTAGGAAACCAGTTTTTAAATATCTGATGAGCATGAATAGTGCTTTTGACTACATCAGCTTTGGGCATCTGAGGATCAGAGGTAGAGTCTTACCTGAAGACGCTCACCTTGGCTTCTTTTGTCCTTAACTGTCCACTCTGCGGTCCTCCCTACATCCTTTGGGACAGGACAATCACAGCTGCTCCCTCCCGACTTCCTCAGACAGCTGCTCTGATTTGAATAACCAAGCATGCTGACTGATGTCCCATGGTGACTGATTTGCCTGGCAAACAGACCCTTAGGTTTTTCTCCCTGCCAGTACTGGGGCCATGCTTCTTTCCTGTCCCCAAACCCAAGAGCTGCCTAAATTCTTGCCCCCTTTCTTGACCCCGAGTGGGGGTCCTAGTGCTTGTAGGTCCCTGGAGGCTGCAGAGTTCCAGATTTAGGACTCTGGCCTCAGAGGAGCAGGATGAAAGGCAGGCCCAGGGTAGAGGTAACTGGAGCCAGCTGTCAGCTCCCTGGGCTCCTCACAGAATTTGCATGAAGAGAATGAGGCTCCTCCATGGGTTCCCCCTCCTTTCTCCACCTGGGACAGCAGTCCTAGGGCTGAAGTCTGACCAGCCGGTGAAGAGCCAGCTCTGTGTGGAGCCATCTCACCATTGCTGAGGTGATGCCCCGTGTCTTCCTGGTGAGGAGTCGGCGTCCACAGCCACCCAATTGGGGCCACCTGCCTGACCAGCTACGGGGAGATGCCTATATCCCAGGTGGGCCTCTCACTGGGCCTGGAGGTGTGGGGCAGGAGAGAGGCAAGAAATGTATACCTGCCTAGCTTGTTTTTGCAGACTGCAGCAGCCTGGCTGGGCCACAAGCACAGCAGTCTTCCAGCCTTGGGGACTCTTGGGCAACGGTGAGTCTGCAGCTGACCCGCAAGAGCAGGCCGTTTCATCCCTTCCCAATCTCTGTCCCTTATACCTGGGCCTATTGGCACAGGCCCTCCAGCCCTGGGTCCTGTTCCTCTCAGCTGGGAAGGCTTCTCCTTCCCTTGTAGTGAGCTGTCAGGTCTCAGGTCCCACATTCCCAGGCTGGGCAGCTGTAGGCCCTGCGCCACTATGTGCAGTGCGGCACAGCAGGGTTCCAGCCAAGTGGACGATCTGCTTTATGTCAACACTGGACAAGGTGAAAGCAGCAGGCTGAGGAATGAGGGACAGAAAACCTCTCAGAAGGGCTATTTCTGCTGTGTGTTCATTGGAAGAACAAAGGCACTAGCTCGAATGAGAATGTGCTTAAGGTTATTTCAGTATTTGTTGAGAACCAGGCACTATTCTGGGTACAGGATGTTTAGAGACTAACCTTTAGTTTAGTTAGTTTAGAGACTAACCTTTAATAATCCCTCCTTTATGGAGCTTACTCTCGGAGCGGGCTAGAGACAAAATGAAATTAGGGAAGTGTATTAAGAAAGTGTTGGAGGGTAGTGCTTGCTATGAAGGAGTAAGACTGCTGGAGTTTCCCACTGGGCATTGTGGCACAGGCCTTAATCCCACCACTTGGGAGGCTGAGGCAGGAGGCTCACAAGTTTCAGGCCAGCCTGGGCTACACAGTGAGTTCAAGGCCTGCCTGAACTGCATAGTGACACCCTGTCTTAAAAAACCAAACAACAGGGGCTGGGGATTTGGCTCAGCGGCACAGTGCCTGCCTGGCAAGCACAAGGTCGTGAGTTCAATTCCCGGTACCGGAGAAAAAAACCAAAAAAAACCCAACCACCAAAAAAGAGTGCTGGGTTTTCCCAAAGGGAAGACCTTAGGGAGAACACGGAGTACACCCATTAATTACAGGTTTCTGGTCCTCCCTGGCTATAGGTACTCCCTAAACGCTAAGAACACTTACTTGCAAACTAACAAAAGACTGGGCGGGGTCCAGTGGGAGGGGCTAATTCCTGAATCCCTCTGGCAGGCCACACAGGGAACCCTGGCATCTGCTCCCAGGAGCCCCGGGACACTTGGCTGCCCTCTCTGCCCCAAGGCCTTCCCCCTGCAGCGCATGCTAACTCGGCACCTCAAATGCCACAGCCCAGCACGCCGCCATGTGTGCCGCTGCTGTGGCAAGGGTTTCCACGATGCCTTCGATCTCAAGCGTCACATGAGGACTCACACTGGTGAGCTGCGGCAGGGATGGGGGGGACTGCTGGGCTTCAGGCAGGGATGGTGATGGAATGAAACAGAGGAAGGTGGTCAGAATACAGATGCCAGTGTACGTGTATGGGGCTGGGATGCAGCCAACAGGAGGCCTGAGATATGGTGTGCCTCACACCCCAGCAGATGGGTGTAACACAACACCAAGGGAGGGGCCTGGCGAGCGATAAAAGATGGGTGCCGGTTCAGAATTCAATTCCCAGGCTCAAGGTTGCTAAGGATCATCTCCCTCCCTGCCCCTTTTCCAAGAGGAAGGAAACTCCGGGCGTGGTGGCACAGGCCTGTAATCCCAGCACAAGGGAGGCTGAGGCAGGAGGATCATTGCAAGTTTGAGACCAGCCTGCGCTACAAAGTGAGCTCAAGGAGCTGGGGATTTAGCTCAGCGGCAAAGCGCCTGCCTGGCAAGCACAAGGTCGTGAGTTTGGTTCCGGTACCGGAGAAAAAC